TTTAAACTCTTATTTTAACATGGAAGTCAATGGGAGGAGCCTTCAAATCCTCTTTTAACTAGACCTTACGCCAAATGCTTCTCCTTCCACATACTAGAGAAGGAGACTTCATTCCAACTTTAAAATGAGCACAAGACCTTCAGCTATTCAATTCTTATTCACATTTGTGATATCTTCTACACTTTTTGAGATATCTAACTTAGTTTGGAGCTTGGTAGAGAGGCCTTTTTCAGATTTTAACATTAGTGTGGATGGAGCAGCTCGTTAAGTCTTAGAGTGCTTTGATCTCAAAACAGAGTGGAGGTGTGCTTGAAATTCTCCCCAAAAAATATTTTAAACCTGCCATAATTCCCAAACCCTACACTCCTCAGACATAATTTTTCATGAAAAACTTAGGAAAACCTCTCCTAGGTTGGAAAATAAAAAGGAATTGAGAAAAAATATTAAACAAAATGCCTCTTGAGGGCATGAAGAGACAAAAAGTCCACCTAGCTCCCAATTGATTCCCATGTTAAATCTTTCCGGAACTTTCTTCAGAACAGAGAGAAGTACACTTTAGACAAACTGCTCTCATCTTCACATTTACCACACAAAACCCAAAGAAAAAACATATATCAGTTCATTGGGGTTCCCTGATGCTCACGGTCTGGTAATTTTTTTATAGGAGCCATAGTTTTTGAACAGGTGGCAAAATTGTCAGATATGATCCTCAATGCATTCTTAATGGCACTCAGTGCTGCAGTTGGTTGCCATGGTGTTGCTGGGCAGATTGGAGCCACACACCTGAGTGACATCATCTAATCAGAGCAGACACGCAGACTGGAGGTTTGTATTATTATTTGTTCAATAACTTCATCACCATGGTAACCTTTGATCTCTGGGCTTACACACACAGGTGTTTGTAAACATTCATTCACTACTACTTACATTTAATATTTAACTCCTTCAGCCTACTTTCAGCTATAAACCATTCAACTATTAACTTATTCAGCTATTTCAGGACATTGAGGCATACATGTTGTTGTGTATACCTTTTTTAAACCTTTTCTTTTAAATATTAAGCTTCTTCACTATTTTTCCTACTCTTCCAGTTTAACATTTCAACAAAGTCATTGCAATGCATTTGAGCTGTAACAATTTTGATACAAATCATTTCACTTTTCTGCATTTCTCCGCTAAGTTCAGCAACACACATACTTGGTTTTTGTACTGCAGCATCTAATCAGAGCAGACACGCCCACAGACAGACAGACAGACAGACAGACACACACACACACACACACACACACACACACACACACACACACACACACACACACACATACATACATACATACATACATACAGACACAGACACAGACGTAAAAAGGTATTTTGATAACGTTGTCCCCATGGTAACCTTTGATCTCTGGGTTTACACACACAGGTGTTTGTAAACATTCCTTCACTACTACTTACATTTAATATATTTATTTAACTCCCTCAGCCTACGTTCAGCTGCAGAAACCATTCAAATATCAAACTATTCAGCCTTTTCAGCACATGATGGGAAACTTTCAACTTTTTCAAAATATGTTATACTTTTTAAAACATTCAGCTTTTTAAAGTCTTTTTTTAACATAGAAGTCATTGCAATGCATTTGAGCTGTAACAATTTGATTCAAATCATTTCACTTTTCTGCATTTCTCCGCTAAGTTCAGCAACACACTGACTTGTTTTTTGTAGCTAAAAGCAGCTACCATTCAGCTAATAAAATATTCAGCTTTTTCTGCATTTTCAGCTAAATTCAGCCACAAATGTTCACAGTTTACAGCATTCGCACGCATTTTCTGCAGGAAATGCATTTTCTAGTCTAAACATTATGTTCTTCCCTCAGCTCCTTTAATGCAGCTCCTGTTGACGGTCGCTGTGCAGTGTTTTTAAAAAAAAACACATGGTCATCAGTGAGCTGTGATGAGAAACAACAATGGATCTGCCAGCAGAAGGCTCTATCTGTTTAAACAGGGCAGTCATACTAAGAAGGTTACTGGAAACTCTTTGAAAAAAAGATGAATTACTTGTGAATAAAAACAATTTCCAAACAAAAAATAAAACAGTAATTCCAGAAACGTTTCACAAACTCGATACAAACAATAAAACACAAAAGTTAACTCATAATGTGAATTATTTTAAAATCAATGTACTTTTAGTTTGACTTAATTTCTATAGGCTGGCAAAATGAATGCAAATATTTATTTCTTTAACATTTTTATGGTGTTTTTATTAGATATGGATGGTTAAAATAGTTATACTGTTTTGTGTGAATAATGTTATTCTATTGTGTTAGAGATGCAACGCTTAAACTCTGCAGATTATTGCAAAGATTATGGACCATTTTATTTGATTGCTTCTACCGGCCAACAGAGGGCGCTGCATCACTTGTTCTCAATACAATGTTCCAGAGTCTGTTAAAAAACTATTTTTCAAGATTCAAGATTCAAAGGTTTATTGTCATGACATTTAGAAACTACGGTGTAATTATGTAATGTATAAAAAATGTGATCGCAGGTTCCTTAACAGTGCAATTAACAAGACATAAGAAATACATATAAAAAACAACAATAAAAATAAAAGTAGTGCAAGCTCAGGTGTTTAATAGTCTTATGGCCAGTGGGATGAAACTGTCCCTGATACTATTCTGATGACGCACACTTTATGGATGATTTGTATATATTTGTATTTTTGTCTATGAGCAATGTCATGTTTTACTCTGTTGTCACCAGTGAATAAATGTGCTGCCACACATTGTTGTTTTTGTCTTTCTCTTGAAAACATCAGTGCTTTAATCAAGTCTGGAGAAACAATCTTATTCATGGTGCAACCATTTGGATGAAAAATAAGATAGAAGGAGATCAGGCCTCAATATTCAGTCCTCTGTCAACATCAGCACCAGCAGAGTTTCAGAGAGGGACAGGAAGTGGAGGTGAATTGGCCAAAAAAAGAGCAAACACTCAGTAAGATGTATGTATGATGATAAGATGTGATAATAGTGTTTAAACTCATCAATGCGTCAGTGTCCATCAATGCTGCTCAGTTCCTCTAACCCTTATGTTGTGTTCAGGTCTCCTCTGACCCTTTTCAAGTTAACATTATATAATAACTACCCTCTAGTTTTTATCAGAACAAGGCTTCATGATATCCTCCACAACAGCTCTCTGAACTCTACCAAACTGATTTAGCCAAGTCTGTTGGGGGGCGTGGCATGAACAACATTTTCTAACAGAAGCTTGTTTTTTGTAACTTTTTCTAGCATGAATCTATATGGGTTGATTTTGACCCGTAACACCACAGAGGTTACTATCAGTGATCTGATTGATAGGTAAGAGACACATTACTAATCAAATCAAATCAAATCAATGTTTATTTATAAAGCACATTTAAAAGCGATTTTTGGTCGGGCCAAAGTGCTGTACATGTAATAAATACTACAATCACATAAAAACACATTACTACAATCACAATAAAAGACAATAAATTACAACAGATATATAAAAAACACAGGGAAAAGTCAGGAGTCGTGCTCCGCTCTGACTAGAAGGCCAGGGAGAAGAAGTGTGTTTTTAGTGTAGATTTAAAAACCCCTAGGGTCTGGGCCGACCTCACATGGAGGGGCAGACTGTTCCAGAGCCTAGGGCCAGCTGCTGCGAAGGCTCGGTGCCCTCGGGTTTTAAGCCTGGTCTTGGGCACTACCAGCAGCAGCTGGTCAGCAGACCTTAAAGCTCTGGCTGGGGTGTAGCGCTGGAGGAGTTCAGCTATATAGGCCGGAGCCAGCCCATTTAGTGCTTTAAAAACAAATAAAAGGATTTTAAAATCAATTCGGAACCGAATTGGAAGCCAGTGCAGTGAGGCCAGAATAAACACTTTGAATAATAACATCTATCAGTCTTTATCTAAACATCATGTTCTCTCCTCAGCTCCTGGATAGATCCTCTGTTGACGGTCGCTGTGCAATGTTTTACAAGGGCATAAACACAGATAAATAATTCCTAAGTAGCAGCTAGATTAATGTTATGATGTTGTTTCAAGTTCAGGTGTTTAATATTCTCATGGCCTTCGTTACCGTACTTAAGTACATGTTTCTGGTATCAGTTCTTTACTCCACTACTTATTTTTCTGACGACTTTTTACTTTGACTTCTTACATTTTGAACACAAATACCTGTACTTTCTACTTCTTACATTTTGAACACAAATACCTGAACTTTCTACTTCTTGCATGTTGAACACAAATACCTGAACTTTCTACTTCTTACATTTTGAACCCAAATACCTGTACTTTCTACTTCTTACATGTTGAACCCAAATACCTGTACTTTCTACTTCTTACATGTTGAACACAAATACCTGAACTTTCTACTTCTTACATTTTGAACACAAATACCTGTACTTTCTACTTCTTACATGTTGAACACAAATACCTGTACTTTCTACTTCTTACATGTTGAACACAAATACCTGTACTTTCTACTTCTTACATTTTGAACACAAATACCTGTACTTTCTACTTCTTACATGTTGAACACAAATACCTGTACTTTCTACTTCTTACATGTTGAACTCAAATACCTGTACTTTCTACTTCTCTCATTTCCCAAACAGGCTGGTTCCTTTAGTTTGAATGTGTGTTTGGTGGCGTGATCATTATTATTTAGAGTCATTGCGTGCCTATTGATTTGAACACGATCCGTGTATCCATCATTTCCTGGTCTTCTCTAAAGAAGAGGGACCAATGAAAACGTTGTCATGTTGCCGTTGTTCAGCATGGAAACATTCATTAGCTAACAATGACATTATTGTTCTATTAATATAAAGGGAGGTCAGGTACTCTTTAAAACAGCTGCTAGTTATGGGTACTTTTTACTGAAGTACATTTCAAAGCCCTCTTTACTTTTACTTGAGTAAAGAAGTTTAGTCAGTACTTCTACTTTTACCAGAGTATTTTTTAAACACCAGTATCTGTACTTCTACTTGAGTAAAGGATGTGTGTACTTTTGCCCTCTCTGGTTTGCTGGGCTCAGATATGTGAGTGTGTTTGTCAGTGAAGCTGCAGAAAGCTGTACGTCAGTGCCTCTCCCTTCACGTCGCTCAGAGGAACTTGTGTGTAGGAAAAACCGAAGAGAAGCCATCTGCGTGTCGCCCGCAGGAAGTGAGCCAGCAGTCGGATCAGCAGCAGAGAGGCCAGCGTCAGCGTGATGATCAGCCATGTTTGTCTGCACAGAGAGGGAGCTTTACGAAGTACTCTCAACAGCATGTGGACGGGATTAGGAACAGTGTAACGGCTGCATACTACTTGCTGTTTTACAAACCTAAAGACCAAAAATCTCCACCCAAACAACACAATTTAAAGAAAATCTACATTCAAATGACCAACAATTTAAATACATTTCCATTCAAGGTACAAAATCCAAAGAAAATCTCCACCCAAACATCAAAATCTACAAAAAACTTCTGAATCCAAACTATAAAATCTAAAATAAATCTCCAACCAAATAACCAGATCTAAATACAATCTCAAATTCTCCAGAAAATAAAAATAAATCGACATCGTAATGACAAAATCTCCCACCCACTTTCCTCCAAATCACAATATCTAAAAACAAACAAATATGTCATCTAAAGCATGTCCCAAAAATCATCTGCCTCCAAATGACAACATCTCCCCAAAAATTAACATCTGAATTGCAAAATCTGAAAGAAAAGTCTTCCTCAAATGACAACATTTCCCCTAAGAAAGGACAGAAGGGCACTCACTCTGTTAGATAGGGTTCGTGTCTGTACGCCTCCTTCTGTCGCCTCCTCCCCAAACACTGAACCGCTGTGGAGGAATAAGAACGGCACTAGTGAGAGTAATATCAAGGTGAGATACACAGAGAGGCACAGAGAGGCACTGTTGGTCAGAAGCAACAGCCAACGGGAGACATGACAACATAATAGAACAAATAGAAAACATGGGATAACAGTAGAATAGATTGCACTGAAACCATTTTTTAAACATCAGAGATATAAGTTAAGTACCTATAACAGGGTTTTTTCTAGCTGGATAAAGTATAAGATAATACTGTGGTGCTGATCTTGTATATCCATTGGCCGATTTGGACAATTCTGGAGTGGTTTTGGGGGTTATTGAGGATGTTTAGTACATTTCTGACATTTTCCGGATCTAACATGGCAGTTTTAACCAGAAAGTGGCCATTTCTGTTCTCTCTTTGGGCTGATTTAGATACATTTTGGAAGATTTAGGGGACTCTGGATCATCCGGCAGTGGCTCAGTTAGTAGGGGCTTGGTCTGGGAGCCGTAGGGTCGCCAGTTCAAGTCCCCAAACAGACCTAAAATATGGAGTGTGGACTGCTACTTGGAGAAGTCCCAGGTTGCATTCGAATAGTCCATTTAGCTTAGGAACCTTCCTAACGGAGTGAAATGACCCGGAAGTCCCTCAGTGGCAGCCATGATAAGTGCCGTTCCAATTCTCTAAATGAAAGGAAAGGAGGTTTCAAACTTCCTTTATAACCTCCTTTAGCTTAGGAACCACTGGACCTCCCTAACCGAAAGGAGAGGAGAAAATGCTGCCCCACAATGCCTTGCAGCCGCAGCATTTGCCGTCACACAACAGTCGGCCGTTCACGGAAACAACCGATTATGAACGAGAAATGATATCATGAAAGTTACGGTGCTTATTAAGCATTTTAAAACGTATGTGGTAAGTTGCCAAAGTGCTTTGTTTTGAACGTTCATCAGTATTATAATCAAAAAGAGAAATATGAACGTTAGTTTTTACTGAAATGATCAAATAAAGTCAACATTTCACAGTCTTTACTGAGCTGTGTGGGGTTTGTTCAACTTTTAAAAGATGTTTGAATGGTGATATACACAGTGATAGATGTTCAGGACTAACGTTTATAATAAATACATTTGTATTGATTTTAAGATCTTTTCATACAATCATATGTATTGGGATCATTTGTATTAATGTGGACCGGAGGGAGAGGGTGAAGAGCATAAGTTTCACTTTCCTTTTTTATTTCAATTCCAACTTTGGTCATGAAGAATATGTTTCTCTGTTGTCCCCGTTCATAAAGCATAAAACAACAGCATCAGAGCACGGTGCAGAGTCTCTAGATGAGTTTACAGTAGTCCCTCGTTCTTATTAAACATCCATGTTGTAGTCCGCTGTATAGAAAACTGTAGTTTCCATAGTTTCCCCACAGCAGCAGGCGCACATTCATGACCTCTGCTGGCGCATCATAAACACGTCGGATAGTGAAAGTGCAGTCGGATTCTCTAAAGTGCCGCAGTCTCTTCTCCTAAATCCTTTTGAATTCTCCTATCCACTATCCCTTAACCCCGTGACGTTTCACTCCGAGGTCAAGGAATAGACGATAGGGTTAGAACTTAGGAGCTGTTTTTTTGGAGTATTCGAACGCAACCCCAGTTCACCTCCTGGGCCCTGCCGTGGTACCCTTGAGCAAGGCACCAGTTATTTAATTGAAAGCAAAATGTCCACAGCAGAGATAATAATGTTCATCTTGTGCTCTCTATATCCAATGTCCAACACTACTCATGGTAGTCAAAGAGAGTCACACAGAGTACAGATATGATCACTTTCTGGTTAAAACTGCCATTTCTGATCCTGAACATTTCAGAAATGCATTCAAGATCCTAAATCACCTCGAAAACCACTCCAAAACTGTCCAAATCGGCCAAGCCATTTATTAACTATTGTCTGCATATGCTAATAAACACAACTTATGCTAATTGTTCAAATGTCCCAACCTCTGCAGGTTAGCATCCGGCAGTTTATATGTGCTGGGGACCCTACTATACATTTCTATCATAAAACGTGGTATTAGTACCTCTGGTATTAGTACCTCTGGTATTAGTACCTCAGTTGGACGTACCTCTGGTATTAGTACCTCTGGTATTAGTACCTCTGGTATTAGTACCTCAGTTGGACGTACCTCTGGTATTAGTACCTCTGGTATTAGTACCTCTGGTATTAGTACCTCAGTTGGACGTACCACTGGTATTAGTACCTCAGTTGGATGTACCTCTGGTATTAGTACCTCTGGTATTAGTACCTCAGTTGGACGTACCACTGGTATTAGTACCTCTGGTATTAGTACCTCAGTTGGACGTACCACTGGTATTAGTACCACTGGTATTAGTACCTCAGTTGGACGTACCACTGGTATTAGTACCTCAGTTGGACGTACCTCTGTTGGACGTGCTGTTGCAGCTTCCTGTCTGCGGGTCACATGCACACGGGTCTTCACACGCACACTCCTCAGCACAGGACAGACCATAAAAACCTGCAGGGCAAACTGACGGAGACATGTGTTTAAGTTAATAAAAAATAAAAAAAACCTTATCAGCCCTGAACACTTTCACAATAGAAGACCTGTGATTAAATACAATAAAAAAACATTATGCTCTAAATCCAAACAAATGTTTATACGTATATTTTATACCTGTCCTACCCAGGGTTAGGAGGGTTCATTTAAAAATGTAATCATAGTTACCTGTAAAAAAGAATCTGAGTATCAGAATATAAAAGTAGCCTGATTACTTTCCGTTACTTTTGGATTACCTCAACATCAGACACAATGCTAAAAGATAAAAGATAAAAGAAATAACAATGAGATGTTTTTTGGTAGGTATATGAAGCATGGGGAGACGCACAAAAAAGCCTCTTGACGGCATATCCTAAAACACAAGGCAGTTGGAAGATTAGGATTTTATTGGCAATTTTGGCCGTATTTTGCACAGCTCTCTTTAAACATCCATGGTGAAAACATGTGGAATATGAACACTTATTTGCAACATGGTCCCCAATTTGATAAAAGAACAGGACAGACAGTCACACAAAACATGTACAAAATCAGAAACCTGATCTAAGTATCACAAATTACAATAAGTAATGTAATCTGATTACTTTCCATTACTTTTGGATTACCTCAACATCAAACGCAATGCAAATAAATACAAGAGAAAAAACATATCTATACAATGTTTTTAAGTGTATTACGTAAAATAACAGAACACTGTGATTTTAGAAAAGAAGATATTTAGGATCAGAAATGTGTCCTCTTTAGGCTGGACATACAGAAGAGTAGAGGTTACACAAAGGGGTTTTAGTTCAATATATTAATTAAAAGCAAACAGTATTTCATTTTTAATAGATCAGGCGTCCAGCGAACTGCATTAAAACAATTTATTTAAACAAAGAATATATATATAATAATAATAATAATAATAATAATATATGTTGATCTTTATTGATAAACTGTAATCCTGCAAGTAATCTGATTACATTATGTTTTTAATGTAACATTAAGGGAACACAGTTACTTTTCTTGTATCGTGATTACGTATTACACGTAATCCCGTTACACGTAATCCCGTTACTCTGGTCCTACCTTTTTCGCAGAAGTTGCCGTAGAAACCAGGGGGACAGGTGCAGCGTCCGTTGTCGTGGTTACAGAAAGCTCCATTAAAGCACGTGCAGGTGTGTCTGCAGCCGTCGCCATAGTAACCTGGGAGGCATGCTATGCCAAGGAGAAACGGCGAATTAACAACTGCTAATGAAGCACATCGTTAGTGGTAATTATGAAATAAAATGTGAGGGTTGTGATTACGTTCAGTGCAGCGCTCTCCTCTCCATCCAGCAGCACAAAGACAGCCGCCTGCAACTCAGGAGACTTCAGATCAGACTTCAGATCAGACTTCAGATCAGAGTTCAGATCAGAGTTTAGATCAGACTTCAGATCAGAGTTTAGATCAGAGTTTAGATCAGACTTCAGATCAGAGTTTAGATCAGAGTTTAGATCAGACTTCAGATCAGAGTTTAGATCAGACTTTAGATCAGACTTCAGATCAGACTTCAGATCAGACTTTAGATCAGACTTCAGATCAGAGTTTAGATCAGACTTCAGATCAGAGTTTAGATCAGAGTTTAGATCAGAGTTTAGATCAGAGTTTAGATCAGAGTTTAGATCAGACTTCAGATCAGAGTTTAGATCAGACTTCAGATCAGACTTCAGATCAGACTTTAGATCAGAGTTTAGATCAGACTTCAGATCAGACTTCAGATCAGAGTTCAGATCAGACTTCAGATCAGACTTCAGATCAGAGTTTAGATCAGACTTCAGATCAGACTTCAGATCAGAGTTTAGATCAGACTTTAGATCAGACTTCGGATCAGACTTCAGATCAGAGTTTAGATCAGACTTCAGATCAGACTTCAGATCAGAGTTTAGATCAGAGTTTAGATCAGACTTTAGATCAGACTTCGGATCAGACTTCAGATCAGAGTTTAGATCAGACTTCAGATCAGACTTCAGATCAGACTTCAGATCAGACTTCAGATCAGACTTCAGATCAGAGTTTAGATCAGACTTCAGATCAGACTTCAGATCAGACTTCAGATCAGAGTTTAGATCAGACTTCAGATCAGACTTCAGATCAGACTTCAGATCAGACTTCAGATCAGAGTTTAGATCAGACTTCAGATCAGAGTTTAGATCAGACTTCAGATCAGACTTCAGATCAGACTTCAGATCAGACTTCAGATCAGACTTCAGATCAGAGTTTAGATCAGACTTCAGATCAGACTTCAGATCAGACTTCAGATCAGAGTTTAGATCAGACTTCAGATCAGACTTCAGATCAGAGTTTAGATCAGCCTAGCTCTTCTACTTTTACTCAAGTACCAGATCTAAGTACTTCTATCACAGACCCTGCCCCCCATGTTTAAATGTTTAAAGTGAATAACCCCCCTCTCGCTGTAAGTTAACAGGTCTCCTCTAAATATGGACGACTTGCCGTTGATGACGTCACATTCCCGTTCCCTTTAGCCTCCTCCTGTGTGTGTGTGTGTGTGTGTGTGTGTGTGTGTGCGTGTGCGTGTGCGTGTGCGTGTGCGTGTGCGTGTGCGTGTGCGTGTGCGCGTGTGTGTATGTCTTACTGGCGGTGCAGACCCCGTGTCCGCTGCAGTCTGCAGGCTGGCAGCGCCGCCGGTGAACACACAGCACGGTGGAGACGTGACGAGCACAGCGCCACCTGCTTCCAGGCTTACTGAGGGGGGGACAAAAACACCTTTAAACCTCTTTCTGTTTTTAAATCTGATGTGTATGAGGTGCTTGGTTTTTGCAATTGTTCCCTTGTTAAGTTACAGTCACTCATGCACCGTCTGTCCCTGCACTTCCTGTTTTATTTTGTACTCACCTTTCCCTCTCGTTCCTGCCGTTGTGTGTTTTCCCGCCTTTCAGCCCCTCCCTAGATTGACTGTGTCCCATTACCTCTTGTATAAATCGTCTCCCTTTGTCATGCGCCATTTTGTCTTGTGTCGTCAAGAGAGCCAGTGTTTGAAACCAAGAATCTTTGTTGTTATATTCCATAATCAATTTTTTTAGTTCCTTGTTTTTGCAGTTTGCTTTTGCTACGTTCTGCCTCTACATGAGAGATTTTTGTTGTACTTTTGTTGTACTTTCGAACTTTGTCTGGAGTCGTGCATTTAGGTCCAAGGTCTGAGTCACGTTCATAAGCACTTCTCACCATGTGTCCGTAGGGTAGCTGGCCAACGTGCCGTTGATCACAAAGCTGGAAGACCCTCCTCCGTCCAGATTGATGGCGTTGATCACCCCGTTATTCTTCAGGAAGTCTGCCACCTCCCAGAGACTCATACTGCCAAACATCATCAAACACACAAGAGCTATGATCAGAGGTGTACAGTAACTAAGTACATTTACTACTTAAAGGGGACCTATCATGCAAAATGCACTTTTCCACGTCTTTTATACATGAATATGTGTCCCTGGTGTTCCAGGGAACTCACCAAGTGTCAGAAAACACAACCCTCTCTATTTTCCTCCATACCCAAATCTCTAAAAAAGGGGCTGCAACGGATCTGATAAAAACTGATCCAGATTTGAACACTGTCCTGACGTCAGGATGGTGGCACTACGGCTATTGGGCCAACTCCACCAATCAGGAGGAGACAGCCGCGGCCATTGCCGTTCGAAAGCGCTGGAGACGATGTAGTACATATGCCAGGCCAGTAGATGGTGCTGTGCTCACAGAATCTGCCCTTGCAAAAACAGAGCTAACATTTTTCAAATTGAACGAAATGAGGCATGGCTAAAATGCATGATCTGTTTGGTATTTTGAAAAAAAAAAGTATAAATATGCCTTATATAGGTATGGTCCTACACTATATTATTCAAATATAGCATGATAGGTCCACTTTAAGTACAATCTAAAGGTACTTGTACTTTACTTGAGTATTTCCTTGTTATGCTACTGTGTTCTTCTACTCCACTACAGTTCAGAGGTACATGGTGTACTTTTACTCCACTACATGTATTTAATACCTTTAGTTACTTTACAGATGTGGATGAATGATGTGAAATCTAATCAAGTGTTAAATCAGACTTTAGTTCCACCTGGAGTAAATCCACAAGCTACCCTGCAGTATACAAAGTCATTCAGACTAGCTGCACCTTTACCAGCTTTGAGAACACTTTCATGATCAATCATTATAAAACATATCATATATATTATTCTGAAATGGACCAATCTGCACAATCACTACTTTTACTGTCTCTACTTTCACTATATTTTGATGATAATACTTTTCTACTTTTATTTGAGGAACATTTTGAATGCATGACTTCCAAATGTACTTGATTACATTCTAGCCCTGGCTTTAGGCTTTTACTAGACTCCGGTTTGATTCAAACGGGATCGATGTGAATAAGAGTTACCCTCTTTTGTGGGTCTGTCCGTCCACGTGAAACATGACCACATTTCCGTTGACGTCGTGTCCGACTGCTGTCCTCCCTGAGCGCACGTCCACAAAATCACGAAACAGCTCTGTCAGAATATAAAACACAACCATTTTTCATTAGGTTAAAAACTGCAATAGATGACCACCGTTATCCAAATAATGATTCTAGAAATGAAAGGTCCCCTATTGCACTTTTTTCCAAGTCCATATCTCTGATTGTCTGAAACACCAAACAGATCATTGCAGCATTACCCATAATCCCCTCTGTTTCAGCCCTGTTTCCAAAGAGATTTAGTTACAAAGAACTCAATGGTGCTCTAGGAGGAGATTCAGGTGATGAGGGGGGGGGTGGGGGGGGTTACCTTGGTTGGTGATTGGCTAATAGTTGCGCAACCCAAAAAAACATTGTGACATCACAAAGTGACCAAAATCTGATCAGCTGATTTTCAGACAGGTTTTTATAAAGATGGATCAGGACCAAAAGTAATTTAATCGATGTAAAAATGAATGGACAAATTGAAAACTAAATGTTGTTAGCAGCATATTGTTCTGTGTTTTTTATTATCTCTTAATGGGTGTGATTGCTGAAACCAAGGTGTGAAATGTGTGTTTTTTTTGTCTCTAAGGGATGGCCAAATTGAAAATATCTGATATTTGTGTGAGTGTCTTTCCCTTGCAGACAAGTTGCTACAAAAAAGGCTCCGAGCTTTGAGGATTTAAAAAAAATGCTGTGTCTTTTAGCGGATGCTTTTCTTCTGCTTTTACCCATATCGACTATCTTGTCGCACTCGGCCTTCAGACTCTGGTTGATGTAAACCTCTCCGTTCCTCAGGAGCCACACCACCCCGCTGACCAGCTGCTCAAACGGGTTGGACTGGTCCAGAACGTCCTCCTGAGACAGATACCTGGAGAGATGCATAGTTAGAATTTGTGTGACGTTAATAGTCTGATAATTACCTACACGCCGCAGGCACGCCCTACATCAGTCTCAAAGTCAAGTCAAGTCAAAGTCAACTTCATTGTCAATCCTTCAGTTTGTGTGTACAGACGGAGAGATCGAAATACAGCTTCCCACAATCCCGAATATAAAAACAAATATATATACAAATATTTGTGCAAATATGTATATCCTACATATACACAATCAAAGACACATTTTACATGTGCAAACATTAAGGCCTAATTAAAAACACAACAATCAATATATACAAAATAACAGTTGTTGTGGCGATCTAGTACTCACAACAGGAAAGAATGAAACAGAGAGGAATCAATGAAACACAAACACAGAAATAGTTGAGATTAATCATTATTATTTAGTTGCGCACCACCAAACAACAATGGGGAAACATTACCTTGCTTCAACAGCAACCAATCGCAGAAATGCTCCCACGAACACAAGAAAACACAGGGGAGATATAGGTTTCCTAAATGACACACGAACATGTTCCCTAAACATTTTTAACGCACACACATTGTCAGTTCTCCTAAACTTGGACATGTTCCAGATGTCGAAAGGTCATCATCTCATGACTTCTTTAGGAGTCTTGCAGGATATGAATTATCCAATTAACAAACTATATATACGTCTGCACATGAGCGCACATACATTTCTTACATTAACTAACACTTAACTGTATTATATCTAAATGTAGCCCCTTTGCATTTCCTCTGAGCTTGGCGTCAGCTCACTTGACGTAATAATTAGCAAAGAGACGATTCTATTGAAACTGTAACTTAATAACATACCTAGTTACTATGACTAGGTCCAAGATTGATATAACACAGTCACTTCAATATCTTGAGAATGTGCATTAGTGCAAGTCTACGCTATATTTAGAAGATATTCGCTGCTTTGCCTGTCTCTCAGACCGTCCTTTCTATCGGGGAAGAGCATCCACCAGACTCCATTGAAAAAACCCCAGTAATTATACCTGCAGGTGTTGCTGGTTTACAAATTTGATGATTTGCTAGTTAGTTTGTATTGTCGTGAGACTTTGGTGAATCCATCTCTTAAACATATTTATATAGGAAGTGGTAAACCAGCAACATCTGTGTTCTGCTTTTCGACAAATAGAATCTGGTGGCTTTAAAATGAGCACAGATTACAGTGATTCCAACAAACCCTTTAAACACCAAATATAGAATCAGAAACTGGTCTAACTGATTGAGGCAGAGGTAGACAGAAAGAGGTGTCTGACAGCAAGTGGTGAAAATATTCTTAATATAGCTAACCTGATGGCGATATAGATTTAGCCGGTGCTCCTGTCTGTGTCTCCACACTGAGTTGGGTTTAATCGTTCTCTCATGTCAGATGCAATCGGTGTTGTTACATTTCACACCAGTGACGTATAAAAAACATTCACTGTATGCAGAAAGATATAGTACGAGTACTATATCATCAATTATCTCGAGAACATGACGGCCGTACACAAGATGGCGCCGTGGACATAAACAACAACAACGTGACGTCAGAGCTCCGTAAAAACAAAGCTGTCTCTGCCGTCTGACGCTCTGTTTGATACTCATCTTTCCTTAGTCCTGATGAGTCCTCCTATCCTCTTTCCTTAGTCCTGATGAGTCCTCCTATCCTCTTTCCTTAGTCCTGATGAGTCCTCCAATCATCTTTCCTAAGTCCTGATGAGTCCTCCTATCATCTTTCCTTAGTCCTGATGAGTCCTCCTATCATCTTTCCTAAGTCCTGATGAGTCCTCCTATCATCTTTCCTTAGTCCTGATGGATCCTCCTATCATCTTTCCTAAGTCCTGATGAGTCCTCCTATCATCTTTCCTATGTCCTGATGAGTCCTCCTATCATCTTTCCTAAGTCCTGATGAGTCCTCCTATCATCTTTTCTAAGTCCTGATGAGTCCTCCTATCATCTTTCCTAAGTCCTGATGAGTCCTCCTATCATCTTTCCTAAGTCCTGATGAGTCCTCCTATCATCTTTCCTAAGTCCTGATGAGTCCTCCTATCATCTTTCCTTAGTCCTGATGAGTCCTCCTATCATCTTTCCTAAGTCCTGATGAGTCCTCCTATCATCTTTCCTTAGTCCTGATGAGTCCTCCTATCATCTTTCCTAAGTCCTTAACTCTGTGACGTTTCTCGCAGAGGTTAAGGAATAGTGGTTAGGATAAGACCTTAAGAGCTGATTTTTTCGACTATAATACGCTGTAGTTCTCTTTATAAATCAATGGGCTTAAGGTGAATGCTTGTCTTACCCGAACACCAGGGTGCCGTCCCTCCGGATGCCAAACTGAGCGTTCTGCACCCCTCCGCTGTCCCTCACCATGCGGCCGTCGCTCACCACGTTGCCCAGACACCCGTCGGAGGTGATGTTGAAGAAGCCGGCGTTCTGGGCGTACAAACACCCTGCAGGCGCCGCCGTCTCCTCCACAGAAACCCTGGGGTTCTCCTCACAGCCGCCCGGCCCGCCCGGCTCCAACACCGACAGCTGCCTCAGGGGGTCGGGGACCACCGTCATGTGACCTGGAGACAGAGGATAGGAGCAAACCAGCTGTTGTCACAGGTGACTGGGTTTAGGGAGTAACAGATTACATGTAAAGGGACTACGTAATCAGGATACAAAAAAATGAACTGTATTCTCTTGGAGTTACATAAAATACTTATATATATTACAGGTAGACGTACTGCATTTGTGTTTGATGTTGAGGTAATCCCAAAGTAACGGAAAGTAATCAGATTACATTACTTTTATATTGTGATACTTAGATTAGGTTTCTGATTATGTACATGTTTTGTTTGACTGTCTGTCTTGTTCTTTTATAAGATGGGGGGACCATGTTGCAAATAAGTGTTCATATTTCACATGTTTTTACTATGGATGTATAAAGAGAACTGTCCAAAAATATTCGACTGCCTTTTATTTTCGGATAAACCTTCAAGAGGCTTTTTTGTGCGTCTCACCATGCTTCATATACCTACCAAATGTCAGACTTTTATGTGAAACGCCAACAAGGGGCTCCATTTTTGCAATTTTGTATAGGGGGCGTTGAAGAGCCTTTATGCCCAAACCCCAAAACGAGACCCCGGCTTAAATATAAAAAATGTCCCCATTCCCATCTATCTCACCAAATGAAATCAACTTTGGTGTGATGGTCAGCTCATTTCTCTCTCCTCTGTTGTCACCAACCTCGGCGTAAGGTTTGACTCCACTCTGTCTTTACAAGCCCACATCAAACATATCACCAAGACCTCCTTCTTTCACCTGAAAAATATTTCCCGACTGAAGCCCTCACTCTCAACTGATGACACCAAAAAACTCGTTCATGCACTCGTCTTCTCAAGACTAGATTATTGCAATGCACTCCTCTCCGGTCTCCCAGCCAAATCCATCAACCGCCTGCAACTTGTCCAGAACAGTACAGCCAGAGTTCTCACCGGTTCAAAAAAGTCCGCACACATAACCCCCATACTTGCCTAACTACACTGGCTCCCAGTCCACTACAGGATCCAGTTTAAGGTTCTGCTCCTCACTCACAAAGCCCTGAATACCTCTGTGACCTCATCCGTACCCATCTACCCGCTCTCTCCGCTCCAGCCACGCTCCTGTTCTTTACATCCCCCGCACACGTCTCCGAACAATGGGAGGCCGAGCCTTCTGCTCATTCGCCCCGCGCCTCTGGAACTCCCTCCCAGATCAGCTGAGATCTGCCCCTTCCGCAGAGGTCTTCAAAACCGGCCTTAAGACCCTCTTCTTTCGGCAGGCCTTCCTATAAACTTTTATCATGGTACACCTGGAGTACTGCCATTTTGATCGCTATCTCTGACTTTTATCTTATTTTTATTTTTATTGTATCAGAGTCCTTCGTTGTGAAGCGCTTCAAGATTTGTCATGGCAGATGTGAAGCGCTATATAAATTAAATTAATTATTATTATTATTATTTGGAAGTACATAAAGGCCCCTAGAAAGCAGAAAAATAGCTCCATGATGCCTAAAGCTTTACTGCTGCCTCCATCACTGACCGTAGACCCAGCGGGAGCTCTCGGCGCCGCCCGGCATGTCGGATATGAACACGCTGGACCGGGCCACTGGGAGTGTGTCGTGGCTGCTGGACGGCCAACTCTCAAACGTCCTCGTGCCAAAGGTCACGGCCTGGCAGTCCCTCACGTGGCGATGGGAGTGAGAGGGACCGTGGCTCTCAGCGTACGGCAGCAGAATGTCTGTGGAAACGCTGTGGAGACAAATGAATGCGTGATAAGACGTTTTGTTAGCACTCAGTTAGCATAGCATTAGCTGTCTGACCTCTGTCCGAATGATTCTCAAGATTCAAAGGTTTTATTGTCATGTGCACAAAGCTATAGTGTAGAAATGACAATGAAATCTTTCTGACCTGAGCTCCTCCAACAATGCAACATATATAATAAAATACAAAATGAAAAGTCGTGCAAGAAGTCTATATACATGTAAATAGAATATGATATGTGCAAGAACAGAATATGAAATAAAATAATGTAAATTAAAACTAAATTAAATACGGTTTATTGTGGTGATAACTATTTATATAAATAAGTGGATTGCAAGATGACAAACAGATGAATGTTTATCGAGGCACTTTACAGAGCTCAGGTGTTCTTATGGCCTGTGGGATCAAACTGTCCCTGAGTCTGGTGGTTTTCTATAGTCATTAAACCTGTAGATCTGAAGGTCCTGTACCCCCCCGTGTGTAAACTTGACATGAGCCTCCAGATAAATAATATTTTAAATTACCAACAGGCTTTAGACACTAGGTCCAAACAGCAGAGAGAACGGACACCAGTCACAGTGACCGTTCTTCTCTTAATTCATACAGACAGATTTAATTCATTCACTTAAATAACGCTCCTCTGTTTCTGCATAGAGCTTCTCTTTGTGAGGGCTTTTATATTCCACACATACACAAGACTTTATATTTTCATTGCCATATCTACACATTCATTTTAGATGCGAAACCCGCTGACAGCTGAGCGGGAAACGCTGATACATGTTGACGGATGCTGCTGTCGCTATGCTATCCTTCAAAGATGGCTGCGATGCCCCAGAATGCACTGCGGTTCCCATTTCCTCTATCAAAGTAGCTATAAATAATATTAGCACAAAAACTTTAAAAAATATAATTATGCTCGCATTTTCAAAGTCTAAGTCAAAGTCAACTTTATTGTCAAGAATTCCACATGTGTTATACATACAGAAAATTCGAAATACTGTTTCTCGCAGTCCCACAGTTTGACATATATACATAAAACAAGATACAAAAAGGGCCTAGATAAAAGGGGTATCCATCTAAGTAATGAGGAGTAATGAGTACTAGGTAATACATATATTTAAAACAAAAAACACAATCAACAGAAACATGAATGTGACATTAGTGCAAGTATTCCTCAGAGCAAAAAAAATGATGTTCGAGGTACCGTAACTTATATTAAAGTAAATGAAAGTAGCTATCATCTCACCGTGCCTCTGTGACTCCCAGCTGCCAACCCCGGAGACCCGTCAGCACCATCAGGAGCCAGCGCTGGCGCCAGCTGGGTGCCATCTATTTGGGATTCTGTGTATAAACCACAGACACACACTGACTGTACGCCTGTATTTAAACACACCGTGAAGACCTGTCATGTCCCGATGAACCGGTTCAACATCTACGGATTCCACATTCCTCATCGGGGACAGGCAGGGACATTATAGGTGGAAGGAATATCTAGCAATTTAGAAACATGAATGTATTTAAACAGAGGTGGAAGAAGTACTCAGACCTTGTTCTAAAGTAAAAGCTTTTTTTCTCTTCCCTTTATTCAAGAATATATCAGAGTAGGTTTAACAAGTACACATAGGAGGAATTTGCTTTGGTATAAATGGTGCAAGCAAAGACAGAGAGAAAAATACGTAGATTTGTATGTAAATCCTACTATTAGATAACATTACATTACATTTAATTTGTTAGACACTTTTATCCAAAGGAAATTACATACATTCAAGTACTGTGGACAATCCCCACAGGAGCAATTTGGGGTGAAGTGTCTTGCCCAGGACAACAACATGCTGTCTGCAGTGGGACTTGAACTTGCCATCCCCTGTTTCAAAGTCCAGCACTCTATCCACTGAGCCACAGCCTAGCTAAATAAGCTGTTATAAAAGCTATTATAAAGACAATTGCAGCAAATAAAAAATAAAGACAATATTTACACAAAAATATAAATATGTAAGAAACTGAGTCACTGAAAAAACTGGACCGTTGACTTTAATTAAATGTATTATGTCAACAAATTACACACAACTGTATTAGGTCAAGTTGAAAGCAATAATATTAAGTTGAATAAAATATATTAGGTTCAACGTAATATTACTGCTGAATTATAGGAAGTTGAATGTATAAACCGGAACCTGACTGTTCATCACTTGTAGTATTTTTACAGTGTAGTATTCGTACTTTTACTAGAGTAAAGGATCTGAATACTTGCTCCAACACTGTCTCAAAACTGAACTTCGCCAGGTTTCAGTTCCACACCCTGTCCTTTTCTTATAATTATCTAATAGTTTAAAACAGGATAAACAGGTTTCAACTAACGTTTCAAATTCTGTTTTTTTTCTTCAGCTGTTTCAGCTACACATTGATTTCTATTATTTATTTTGAAGGCAGTTTTGGGCACTGGGGGATTGTGTCTGTGTTGGTGGTGGTGGGATTATCACAGCAGTTTGGCACGTGGGTTTTTACCAGGGTGACTAAAGGAAAGCCACAGGAAAGGCTTCAGGAGAGGAATACATAGGAAACGTATTCATTGTACTTTAGTTTTATGACATTGGATCATGGAAACACATGGAACAAAACGACTCTGCCTGGACTTGGATCATTTAGACGAGATTAGCTAACTGGTGCCTCAGCAGCCGTTTCATTTTGAGTTAATTTTCTGTTGTATTTCTTTATGATTTCGGCCGATACACATCCCAAAATGTGTATTTATTGACCCGATGACGTCACGGGTTGACACGGAACTTGTAGTAGCGGCTTGTGTGCGGACGGAATGTTTTGAACGTGACACACGGGTGAAAGTTGAAGGGGAAACATGGCAGCAGGAATCAGTGTTAAACATCGATTATTGAGCAGGAAAACGTCGCTTTTTCTCGCTGTTCCCAGACACATCTCAGCCAGCAGTGTTCGTCTCCACAGAGTCGAGAACAGCGCTCACAAAGCGGCTCGGGTCAACGAGAAGTTCTGCCTGGACCTGGTGAGGTGGGTCTGACAGCAGCTAATGCTAACAACACAGCTACAGCTAACAGTTACACAAACAACACAGATGGGTCTGACAACACTAACTATTGTACTCAAGTACCATTTCAAGGTACTTGTACTTTACTTGAGTATTTCCATGTTATGCTACTTTGTACTTTTACTCCACTACATGTATTTAATACCTTTAGTTACTTCACAGATCTGGATGAATGATGTGAAATATAATCAAGTGTTAAATCAGCCTTTAGTTCCACCTGGAGTAAATCCACAAGCTACCCTGCAGTATACAAAGTCATTCAAACTAGCTGCACCTTTACCAGCTTTGAGAACACTTTCATGATCAATCATTATAAAACATATCATATATATTATTCTGAAATGGACCAATCTGCACAACGACTACTTTACTGTTGCTACTTTAACTATATTTTGATGCTGAAGGACTGGTCTGAGATCTGCTCTCTCTCTCTCTTTCTCTTTCTCTTTCTCTCTTTCTCTTTCTCTCCTCTCTCCTCTCTCCTCTCTCTCTCCTCTCTCTCTCTTCTCTCTTTCTCTCTTTCTCTCTTTCTCTCTTTCTCTCCTCTCTCCTCTCTCAGGTCCAGGGACTATGATGGCTTTGTTTCCTCGCTGCTGCTCCCGGTGGAGGCGCGCCGCTCCTCTCTGGCTCTGAGAGCCTTCAATGTGGAGCTGGCTCAGGCAGGTATTCCTACAGGAGAGAGTACTCAGAGTACTGCTGATAGTACTCAGAGTACTGCTGATAGTACTCAGAGTACTGCTGATAGTACTGCATCATCTACATCAGTGGTTCCAGAGCCTCACCCGTCTGTGATCATTCACCTTCTTTTTTTCTTGAATTAAACCCTTTGTATTTGTATTTAACTCAACTTCTCATTTAATGAAATCACTTGTATAACTCACCCTTCAAGGTCACCTGCAAAATCCACTTCTCCATGTCTCTTCTACATCAACATGTGTCCCCTCTTCTTCATGTCTCTTCTACATCAACATGTGTCCCCTCTTCCTCATGTCTCTTCTACATCAACATGTGTCCCCTCTTCTTCATGTCTCTTCTACATCAACATGTGTCCCCTCTTCTTCATGTCTCTTCTACATCACCATGTGTCCCCTCTTCTTCATGTCTCTTCTACATCACCATGTGTCCCCTCTTCTTCATGTCTCTTCTACATCAACATGTGTCCCCTCTTCTTCATGTCTCTTCTTCATCAACATGTGTCCCCTCTTCTTCATGTCTCTTCTTCATCAACATGTGTCCCCTCTTCTCCATGTCTCTTCTACATCAACATGTGTCCCCTCTTCTTCATGTCTCTTCTACATCAACATGTGTCCCCTCTTCTTCATGTCTCTTCTACATCAACATGTGTCCCCTCTTCTTCATGTCTCTTCTACATCAACATGTGTCCCCTCTTCTTCATGTCTCTTCTACATCAACATGTGTCCTCTCTTCTTCATGTCTCTTCTACATCAACATGTGTCCCCTCTTCTTCATGTCTCTTCTACATCAACATGTGTCCCCTCTTCTTCATGTCTCTTCTACATCAACATGTGTCCCCTCTTCTTCATGTCTCTTCCACATCAACATGTGTCCCCTCTTCTTCATGTCTCTTCTACATCAACATGTGTCCCCTCTTCCTCATGTCTCTTCCACATCAACATGTGTCCCCTCTTCTTCATGTCTCTTCTACATCAACATGTGTCCCCTCTTCTTCATGTCTCTTCTACATCAACATGTGTCCCCTCTTCTTCATGTCTCTTCTACATCAACATGTGTCCCCTCTTCTTCATGTCTCTTCTACATCAACATGTGTCCCCTCTTCTTCATGTCTCTTCTACATCAACATGTGTCCCCTCTTCTTCATGTCTCTTCTACATCAACATGTGTCCTCTCTTCTTCATGTCTCTACTACATCAACATGTGTCCCCTCTTCTTCATGTCTCTTCTACATCAACATGTGTCCCCTCTTCTTCATGTCTCTTCTACATCAACATGTGTCCCCTCTTCTTCATGTCTCTTCTACATCAACATGTGTCCCCTCTGTCCCCTGAAAGTTTCAGGAACAAAGATTCTCTCTCTTTTTGATCCATTTTTATAAAAACCTGTCTGAAAATGAGCTGATCAGATTTTGGCCACTTTATGATGTCATGACGATGTTTAGTCTTGTGTAACCATTAGCCAATCGGCAACCAAGGTAACCCCCGGGGCGTGGGGAGGGGCTCCTTATTTTCATCTAAAGTAATAGACAGAGAATCAGCACTTTGGAAACAGGGCTGAAACAGAGGGGATTCTGGGTAATGCTGCAATGATCTGTTTGGTGTTTCAGCCAATCAGAGACAGGCTCTGGATATATCTGAGACCTGTGATATATTGATGAACAACAGTATAATAGGGGACCTTTAATACAAATGAGTTTAAACTTGACATGTGCACTTAATGTGAGGGAAATAAATCATTTTAAGACTCACTTCAAGCAGTTTCAACATCTTTTGTTAAGAGCTTTCAATGAGACACTTGAGCTTTCATAGATCTGAAGGCGGGACACCAGGCTTATGGATATTTATCTAAAACTGACTTTTTGTATGAAAATAAATTGCAATCCCTAATCTTTCTACGTACCCCCCTGCAATACCCTAAAGAACCCCTAGGGGTCCCCATACCCCCGGTTGGGAACCACTGATCTACATTACCACTGACAAGACTGCTCTTATTACTGCACTACTGAACTACTGACAATACTGCACTTATATATGTATTACTACTTGTTACCAGGGGTGGGAGAAGTACTTAGATCTTCTACTTAAGTACAAGTAGAAATACCAGTGTAGAAATATCATGTTACAAGTAAAAAAACCTGCATCAAAATGTTTCACTTCAATTAAAGGTACTTATTGTGTGTCTGGTAAAGGTGGAGCTAAGTTATTACTTTATATACTGCTTATTCTAAATTAATATCATCATGTATTTGTTTTGTATTAATCATCTGGATCTGCAGTAAGCAAGTAAAGCTGTCATATAAATGTAGTTGAGTATAAAGTACAATATGTACATCTGAGTTGTAGTGGAGTAGAAGTACAACGTAGCTTAAAGTGGAAATACTCAGATAGCGCTCCAGGTTACTGCTGCTGATCCCAGTCCTTCTCAATAAGCTCGTCTAAGATGGAGGTTCTGTGTTTTCCTCCACCAGGTGAAGGACTCCGTTTCCCAGAAGTCCATTGGGCTGATGCGGATGCATTTCTGGAAGTCGGCGATCGAGGAAATCTACCGAGACGATCCCCCGAACCAGCCCGTCAGCGCAGAGCTGTGGCGGGTAAATATATAACCTGAGATACATATATATGTTCTGTTTTATTATCTCGAGGATCTGACAGAAGAGGTTCGGATCTGTCTTTTTTTCGGATTTACTGTTTTTATTCTTGACTTTTCTCAAAATTGTTTAGATTTGTTTTCCCCAACATTTACATTTTTCTCTGAATTTTGACTTTACAAAGAATTGTGACTTTTTCCCCTCATTTTGTTTTTTCAGAATTTTGACTTTTTCCTCTAAATTGTTTCTTTTCAAGGAAATCATTTTTTTTCTCAGAAAAAAATTCAAAATGTTGACTTTCTCCTCAAAATATTAACTTTTCTCAGAACCTTTTTTTTTCTCAGAATTTTTACTTGAATTTGTACTTTTTAAAACATTTTGACTCTTTTCAGAATTTGTATTGTAATCTTAAACTAACGGGCAGGAAATCACTAATGAGCAGAATAGGGCCCCTTTTAAATCAACTATCTTTCTTGAAATATGTGAAATAAAATGTGCGATCTGGACAAGAGATTTTTTTTGTGAGTCTGGGATTTAAGTACAAATTCGGAGAAAAATCTAGTAAAACAAAATAGAGAAAATTGTAATCTTAGGCCAAGGGGCGGGACATCTCTAAGCGGTTGACCAATCAAAACAGAGCCGGCCAGCTAACCAATCAGAGCAAACTGGGCTCTGGTTTCAGACAGAGGGTGAAAAAGGTGCTGCAGCACAGGCAGTATGAGAAAAATAAAGAGCTTTTTGAACATTAAAGCATGGAGACATGTCCCAGTTTAATGCCCCTTTAAATCAACAGCATCAGGGCCACATGAGAAAGTGAACCTGAAAATAAGAAGAATGGCACCCTTTAAAATGATTTTGAACATGTTTTGCAGGCTGTGAGGAAACACTCCCTGACGAAGAGATGGCTGCTGAGGATCATCACAGAGAGAGTACGTTTCTCACTTCCAGATGAGACGTTTATTGCTTCTGTTTAAGTGTCCTTTCTTTTTAGTTTGTATCTGATGGTAATCGGATGTATGTGTCCCTTGACCTTGTGTTATATCAATAACTTAAGAACAAGTTACCATTTAGTGTTTGACAACGATTTAAACTGTGTTTGAGCAGGAGAAGGACCTGGATGACCGAGCCTACAGGACCCTGCAGGAGCTGGAGAAATACTCAGAGAACACGCAGTCCTCTTTAATATACCTGCTGCTGGAGTGCTTAGGTAAGGACAGGTGATGCATTACCTGTGCTTTGCGGTACACATGCTACCATACTATTTAGTACATTTTTTCCTTTTATCGTGACTCAAAAACTGACATCCAGAGAAAAGCTTGGTCTCATTTTGAACCGGAGCATCTGCAGATTACTTCCATACCTGATTTGTTATTATCCTCTAAAGTTATACACAATGCAGGATGAATAAATACCTGTTATTTTGTTGTCTTCTTTGCTGCCATCTTTACTGTAAGGGACAATAGAGAGGTGCAGGGGTGACAGATGTGTGTATGATCACACAGAAGTAAGCATCTCCCTGGTTCCCTCAACAAAAATCCAATGGGATTTTCCATTTCCACACTTGTTAGCAACCGCCGTTTTTTAATTCACCAGTGGGGTATTTACTGAATAAAAATCCCTCAGACCTTATTTCAATAACACATTCAGAAAACCTGGACAGGAAGTGATGAAATGCTAATTTCCAGGTTTTGCGACTCATTCCTGCACCACAAGATTGAGTGATACTCTTTTATGGTTATGAAGAGAAAGGGAGACACACCTGTTTGTTTGTTTTCCAGGGGTGACAAACGTCCATGCAGACCACGCAGCAAGTCACATCGGGAAAGCTCAGGGAATCGTGACGTGTTTGAGAGCGACTCCTTATCACAGCGGCCGGAGGAAAGTCTACCTCCCCATGGACATCTGCATGCTGGTGAGTCAACGTGATGCCAAACACTGTTAGACTACACTGTACAGCACGGTCACATGACTTCACGTCACCACCGCTAAGCTAAAGGTGGCTAATGTTGGGCTATAAAGGAACTACAGCACGGTCACATGACTTCACGTCACCACCGCTAAGCTAAAGGTGGCTAATGTTGGGCTATAAAGGAACTACAGCATGGTCACATGACTTCACGTCACCACCGCTAAGCTAAAGGTGGCTAATGTTGGGCTATAAAGGAACAACAGCACAGTCACATGACTTCACGTCACCACCGCTAAGCTAAAGGAGGCTAATGTTGGGCTATAAAGGAACAACAGCACAGTCACATGACTTCACGTCACCACCGCTAAGCTAAAGGTGGCTAATGTTGGGCTATAAAGGAACTACAGCATGGTCACATGACTTCACATCACCACCGCTAAGCTAAAGGTGGCTAATGTTGGGCTATAAAGGAACAACAGCACAGTCACATGACTTCACGTCACCACCGCTAAGCTAAAGGTGGCTAATGTTGGGCTATAAAGGAACAACAGCACAGTCACATGACTTCACGTCACCACCGCTAAACTAAAGGAGGCTAATGTTGGGCTATAAAGGAACAACAGCACAGTCACATGACTTCACGTCACCACCGCTAAGCTAAAGGAGGCTAATGTTGGGCTATAAAGGAACAACAGCACAGTCACATGACTTCACGTCACCATCGCTAAGCTAAGCTTATCAACATCCTAAAAAACGTGGATATTCTTTGGGATTTAAATGGCAAATGAACAAGGACAAAAAGTCAGAAATGTAGGAGACTAAAACGAATAATCTCTGAGATTATAAAGAGATCATAGATTAAGGATTTGTATCTGTTGTTACCTTATTTATGAATATTAAAAAAACATTGGTGTTATGTCATTTGCGACTCTCAGAAATATTGTTGTTTTCTTGTGCATTTGTGAGTGTCTTCTTTGTCTTTAATCTAAAACATTCAGATGACCTCCCTCATCCGGCTTCATGTTTATTCGTCCATCTTTTATTTGACCTACAACCACCCTTGTAAACTTGATTTAATCTGTGTTTCTGCAGCACGGAGCTTCTCAGGAGGACTTTATCCGCGGCAGCCGAGAGCAAAACGTGCGCGACGTCGCGTACGACATCGCCAGTCAGGCTCACGTACATCTACAACACGTACGTACCACCCTCTGTGTTTTCAGTTTCAAACATAGGACAATTCACAGGAGAACGTAGAGGTGATAAATAACTCTGAACCCCAGTCAGAAGGAAGAATTCAGTTACACACGCCTACACAAATGTTAGTGTTTGCATATGAAAAATATCACATCTTCACCCACCAACAGGCTGTGGGATATTTTACATGGATATAGAGTGGAGCAGGGATGCCATATTTTGGTTGTCTGACCCTGAAGGCAGCATCTCCTGGTTCAATGTGATTCCTCCATGTGATTTATTTAAGGTGATAATCTCTGTGTCAAACAAACGTTTATGATTCTTACACGTTTAGTTCAGCGGGATAATCTCCACATGTTAACACTTTATGATTTCTGAAGTAAAAAGCTAATGTTGGGCTATAAAGGAACTACAGCACGGTCACATGACTTCACGTCACCAAGAAATGTAAATAAATTATAACAATTCACACAAAAATACATAACATTGGAGAGACAAAATTACAGACAATGTGCTTTGGTTTTACAGTTTATTTTTTTTAAAACAAACAATAAAACCCTCTTTGTGTTTTTTTCTTTTTCCTCCAGGCGCGATCGTTTAGCCACAACGTCCCAGAAGCCGCAAATCTGGCCTTCCTGCAGACGGTGAGTCTCAAAACACCAAGCAACATCTCTGAGTTTATGCAAAATGATAGATCAAAAAGCTCCAGACTGTGTTGTTGGGTTCCCTTCACTTGGCGGAGAAACTTTCAAACCAAAGTGAAGTATTTTGGAAATGAATGAAAGACTTTTACCTCTGAATGGATTTAAAACACGACATCCCTGCACCACTCTATTTGATGCAAACCCAATTCACTCTCAAGCAATGTTTTCTTCTGTGGTGTTGTGTGCTGCAGGTGGTGTTGGAGGACTACCTGCAGAGAGTGCGGAGGGCAGATTTTGATGTTTTCCACCCGAGTCTGAAGAAGAGAAACCCCCTCCTCCCCATACAGCTCTACCTCCGCTCCTGGAAGAAGTCCTACTGACATCAGTCCTGCTCCTCTTCCTCCTCTTCCTCCTCCTCCTGCAGGAAACACCTCACACACTTTGTTCAATAAATAAATCCTTGAAGACGAATGTTATTACATAATTCCAGTATTTTATATTTCACTTACTGCTACTAACCGTTTTTGACCAGGTGTTTTATGCAAGCTTAATGAGAGACAATACAGGTGAATATGTATAACTTTTTACAACCCTCTGTTAAAAGCTTCAGAATATAGTATGAAAAAAGAAAAACGATGATTATTGAATCAAAGGAGTAGAAACGTTATTAAATTGTATTTAGAGATTTAAGATTTAAAAGAGATATATATGTTAACTGTGGTTGTGACTTGTGTATATATTTTCTGTTAGCTCAACAGTGGCTGTTTTCATCAACAAGTTAAATATTTTCTGGCATGATTTATTTGAAAAAAGTAAACTACATACTTTTTACACTCAAAAGCTAAAATATAATGGAATAAAAAGTACAATATGAATCTCTGAGAAGTATAGGAGTATAAAGCTGCGTAAAGGTGAATACCCAAGTAAAGTAAAGGTGCATTAATAGTGATTAAGTACAGTACTTGATCCACCACTGTTTAATAGGTTAGCCAAAGATGGCAACACCACGACCCTTATTATACATCCTTGGTCAGACCGGGCTGGCTGTGCTCAGGGGCCTCATTTATAAAGGGATATACGCTCAAAAAATGGCGTACGCCAGTTCCTACGCAATGTTTGCGATTTATAAAATACTAACTTGACGGGAAAATGTGCTGTCCTCCACGCAAACTCTAACCCATGCGTACGCACTAAGCACACAAACGGGAGAGACGAGAAACTGCGACACCGTTGGCAGAAGGAAGAATGGAGAGAAATATGTGGAAATAATACCATAAATAAAATGTTACCTGAAATTGATTGAAAAGTTTATTAACAGCTTGTATATTGGGTACAGTACAGTACAGCTCAAAACATACAATTGTTAAGGGGATGCAGACCAGAGAAAGACTTTCGTCTTGTTTACATCAGGGTCCCCCATTTCCAATTCATCATATCATTTAAGACATATAAGACATATTTGACATACAGATGGCTTATTTACAATTTACATACAGGTGGTTTTTTACATACAGATGGCTTATTTACAATTTTCATTTTAGATTTCGTTCTAATACATCCTAACCGGACATTTAAGACATACCAAGTCTACAGATATACAGTTAGTAACAGAGTCTAAAATGCGAGTATATACATAGATGGGGGGGGGAAGCTGTCCATTGTACGACAGGTTGAGATTTGTACCATTACCGGGGCCAGTTTTGCAATGCTTTCCCCCGAAGGTGCTCTTTAAGAGAGGTTTTGAAGGTAAGTATAGTTTTACTTTCCTTTACAGTTGTGGGAAGAGCGTTCCACCTTGATGTGGCATAATTGCGAAACGTGTATTCCCCTTTTTTTGTGCCAAATCTGGGTTTTACATGATTTGTGGAGCTCCCTCTGGTGTTATGATCATGGTATTCCTTGACCTTTGGGAAGAATTTTGACATGTACATGGGTACCATAGAGGTGTAGTGGATCTTGTAGACCAGGCCCATTGCAAGTAGCTGTACTCTGTCATCTACTCTAAGCCATCCTAGGTTGTCAAAGTGGGCAGAGGTGAGGTGGGTTCTAGATGAAAGGTCAAGCAGTAGTCTGACCAGTTTATTTTGCGATGTTTGAAGTTTTATTTTTAGCGCCTTGGAGGTGCTATGGTACCATGACGTGCAAGCATAGTCATAGTACCCTTGAATGAGTGCTCCTGCCAGAGTTTTCAGGGTGTTTTTGTTTACCAGAGAGGAGATCCGGTATAGGAATCTAGTTCTTTGATTGACTTTTTTTATTACATTGGATGCCATTTTGTCACAGGAGAGGTTTGCCTCAAGAATAGATCCTAGGTATGTAATTTCCTTCTTACTTGTGACAATAATGTCACCCACTGCAACTGAGAAGTCGTCGGATTTGCTGAGATTATGTTTCGAACCGAAGAGAATGGATTCTGTTTTACCCAGGTGTAATGATAATTTATTATCGGCGAGCCAGGTGCAGATTCTGCCGAGCTCGGAGCTGAGGGTTTTTTCAACCTGCAATCTGCTCCTGTCAGAGACCAGCAGGGCTGAGTCGTCCGCGAACAGGAACAAGTTGCAGTCACATGCTGATGACATGTCATTTGCATAAATTAGGAACAGTAACGGACCTAATATGCTTCCTTGTGGAACACCACAGCTCACTGGGAGGGGGGGGGACAGAGTACCGTTTACCTCCACCATCTGTTCTCTCCCCTCCAGGTAGGATTGCATCCAGCTCACCGATAGTTTATCAAAACCAATTGCTTTTAGCTTGTCAATCAGAATGGGGTGATTGACAGTGTCGAAAGCCTTTTGTAGGTCCAGCATCACCATGCCGCAGTATTTACCTCATTTATCAAATATGAAGAATTCATTTTCACACATTGAATAAAGCCAATCCTAAAATGATTAAACAAACGCCTGTTTGAGACTCCTCAGTGCACACAAAAACAACTTGGAGAAATAAATAAATACGGATATGCTATTTAAAACCACCTCGAATATGTTGTGTTAATGTTATGAAATGTTTTCTCATAAATGATGCGCTAAGCAGGAGGACAGAATTACGTCTAAACTGACGTCCTTTTGCATTTCTATAGGTTGTAGATACGAGCATGGTTTTTATACTATCACGTTTAATCGTGTTTTATGCCGTTTGCCAAGACTTGATAAGTCGCTCGTAAAACACAGGAGGTATGGAAACTAAGAACACCATATGTGGTAAATTGTACAGCTAATATAACACAACACATTATCATACATGCCAACCTTTCCAAATCCAAAAGAGGTAGGTTTGCGCGCGGCAAATGTGCACGCCCAAATTAGGTAATCAGAAGAAATGGAACCCCAGTAATTACATGTAAAACCATGTATTTAACATATATTGCATCATTTTATGCATTTTTCAGAAAAAGTGGTAGTTTGGTAAACAGTGACATCAACGACATGTTTGGTCTGTAAAATGCCCGAAAAGTAAAAGAATGGGAGATAAATATCCCAAAGTCTCCACATTTTATTATATTTTTAATGTGTTTCTGGTCCTCTTTCAGTTGCATTGTTGGAGAAGCCTGTGACATAAGATTTTCAACGACATAATTACTCTGTAGCTATGTTAGTTTGACAATAAAGAACCTTGAACCTTGACAGTTTAGATCAGGGGTGCCCAACCTTTTTTGAACCGAGAGCTACTTTTAAAGTGGCCAGTCTGCCGAGATCTACAGTCCAAATAGAGAGGTGTAGCCATTACTGACAGCCGACTACCAGGTAAATACACACTTCTACTTGTATAAAACTGACTTTGTACGATTAATACTTCATAAAATACTGCAGATCCTTTATCTTACCTCTTTCTAATCTACACACATACAAGTATTTAACTGAAGTTACACAACAGTGTTGTTGATACCAGGGGCGTCGCCTGGACCTGAAAACATTCGGGGCTTAGCCCACAGTGGCGGCGGCACTACAGTGGCATTTTTACTGCAACACTCCCCACACACACACACACAGTACACCCGCGACTGTTACAATGAATGCTCGATAATCAGCTCACGGCATATAGGCAGAGGTAAAGTGGTATTTTTTATGAGTGGGGACCTCACCTCCTCTAGGGGGGTCTGGGGGGATGCTCCCCCCGGGAAGATTTTTTTTTAAATATTGAAGTTAAAAGCATCAATCTGGTGCACTTTGAGAGCAAAATGAAGAGATCTATGGATACCTCTCTCAACACCCATATGAAGCAGAACTGTAAACAGATGTACTTTTTCTTTATGGATATTTTACTAATCACTCCCCTTTTAAACTCTATTCTTGTTTTACTGCCATATAGTATTTCATAACTGTTTTTCCTTTATTCTCTTATTTTTTTTATAACTATAATGATCATATGAAGGTGTGCCGCGGAAATAATCTTTTGAATAATTTGTGACCAAACCGTTTGAGACCCACTGAGATAACTTAGACTAAAGTTATGTATCTAAACACTCAGAGAGTCCTTTAGCTCACCTGAGTCTCTCAGTCTGAGAGGAGAGGACTCTCCTCCAGCTTGTTGTGGAACAAACAGCTCCTTATGTCCGTTAGTGCAGCTAGCTAACCAGATGCTAACAACATGGTCCATGCTGGCACCGGCCCCTCCCTCCCCCTCTCCCTCTCTCTCTCTCTATCACACTAAATGCGCTATTGCCACACACACACAGAGCCGAGTTTGAATGACACAAGCACACGTTTATTTCCATGCAACTCTCTGATTGGTCTGGTGTCATGCCTCTGTTGCATTCACTGAACACGGGAAATTACAGTGCTGCCGTCCTCTCTTGTGTCATGATGAGGTTCACGTAAAGCACGGTTAATGTATTATATTATTGAGGGAGAATTGTCCGGGGCTACAGAAAAAACATTCGGGGCTAAAGCCCCGGATGCCCAGGCCAGGCGACGCCACTGGTTGATACAGAGTTGGGAGTTTATTCACACGTCACAAACTACAGTGGGTAATGTTTTCAAGAAACATTGAACAGTGCTGCCACATATGACACAGGAAAAAAAGAAAAGACTGAACCCTTTCTTTGTCATTATATAAAAATAGTGTTGCTACAAAAGTATAAATTAGTTTTACTAATAAGACAACTCAGATCTGAAGCTACACAGGAATCTGCTGCCAGAGTGCAATAAAAAAGACAAAATTAATAGAATCAAACCCTTTTCTTTTTTTTGCATTTTAGTAGAGTATAAAAAGAAATGCCTTTAAAATAGGATGCAAGCAACACTAGTTTCTTAACCTGAATTGATAATAGACTATAATCAATTTAAACAGAACAGATCTTAAAGTTTGCATTCTTATACCATTTTGTACAATAATTATAATGAATAAGTTCAAACAAACTAAAACTTACAGCTGATTAATAACGGTATCTAACTTGAGTTTTTATTATATCAAAAACCTGTTGAAATGCTACTGTTATTTTTACTGTCCCCAAAAAGCGCGTCGGCAGC